AGGGCTTCAGGATTTGCATGGCAAGTACGTGGAGGTGCTATGTTGAGGCAGATGGGTAGCTTGGACAGACATTGAGGTGACTAACTGATTTCAGACTTCCACCTGGATTGACATGCAAATGCTTCCACAAATGATTTATGGTTGTTGTCAACTGTTTTAGAAGCGTGGTTTACCCATATATATATATATATATATATATTAGTGAGGAATGCTATTTTGAAGTTGAATTAATTTATTAAGGTGATTTATTATAATTTTTAAATTTATCGTAGACCCTACTAAATATTAAAATTTAGTATTAATTTAATAGTTACAATGAAACTATATTATTATGTTAACAAATTATAAAAAAACTTTAAATTCAAATAGCACTGTTCATCTTCCATACAAGATGGATTGTGCTCAATCACCATTATGCTCCATATGCGAGGACTAAGTAGATACTGTGGAGCATATGTTGTTCTCATGTACGTGGATACATCGGGTGTGATTTGGCGTTGATGAGATACAAAACAACACCCGTATCAAAACATAAAACGTAATTTTGAACAGTGAAACATTGAGGTGGGTGATTGACCCCGAAGAAGGAATCCATATAGAACATGTCCTAGCAAATCCAAGGGAAAGATACACCCCCAAGCCCGAGCAATCAATGCTAAACAAGGGTGCGGGCTCTACGTGATGAAATGAATGACAGAGAATGAAATAAAGACATGGTCCTAGTTGATGTGGATTTCTTGGGAGCGTTAGTAATGAATGTTCAGTGTCAATACAACGAATGTTCGACACATCTCAATAATATGCAGTAGGTGCTCGGCCTACCGATGATGCTTGGCATCAATAAATGCATGGAAGCAAATAAGTTACAAGAGGGGCAAGGACGATAAAATCATATATTTTTTCTTGGTCAAGTATTGGTGACAAAAAGTACAGTTTGAATTTCTCTAAATTTCTAACTTCTGAGCTAATTCCTCACCAAATATAAATTGTCGTCAAACAAAAAAAAAATTTAACTTTTTTTTTCTGCGATAAACATGTATTGTCGCTAAGTATTATTATTTTTATTTTCTTATTTTTAATTATTTGACCGAAAAATTATTTTGGCGGCAATTGTTTTTGTCGTCTATAAAATTAATATTTTTTTTGGAGGGAATGTTTTTGCTAAGACTATTGACGATAACTATAAAAAATAATCGCTAAAAATATCATAAAAAATTTACCACTACAAACATTTGAAATTGTCGCCGAAAATCACTTTTTTATAACAAATTATATTGTTCATCGTCAAAGCNTTTGATGGGTATAACTCGGGCGAGTTAACCGAACCCAACTCAAATCCAGAACAAAAAAATTAGTGTTTGGGTAAAACATAGGTTAAACTTAACCCAAAAATCTCTAACGTGAATTGAATTCAAGTCATATCCGGATTGAAATTTTGTGTTCACCGGTTAAAACCGATCCTGAACCAAATTACTAAAACTGGGGTTCAAATTACCATAAATTTTAATCAAATCAATAGTTATAATTATTAAGTATAATTTAAGAAATATATTATTATGATTGACACTTAAAAGAGCCATCTACGAACAAGGAGTGGATCATTTATTTTTCACTATCCTCATAAGATACAAACGCACACGATAATATGCTTAGTACCATGCACATTATGGTTTTTCATTATTTCATAATANTCAATTTTGCAAAACTCATTGTAACTTATCCGAACTGTGGTTTTTCAGTCAGTCATCAGCTTAGCTGCATAACCGGTAAGTGATCATGTAATATATGTACACAAGACAAAACGATTTTGAGAATAAATTTAAAGGAAGCTAAATTATATCATCTGAAAGTACTGGTTGGAATAACATCCAACTTCATTCATTTGATCAGTAAGGACCGAGCCTTATAGATTAGACACCTGCTACAAAAATAAGCTTAACTCTTACTAGCAAACTCGAAATAGCATCATCCACATAATTCTCTCAAGAAAACTCAAATCACACACCATTTGATGCATTAAAAAGTCGATTCATATATCCTTCTGAGTGGTGTACTGGACAAATATCAGTTATGTCTGTGAAATCATAGTTANTAATGAATGTTCAGTGTCAATACAACGAATGTTCGACACATCTCAATAATATGCAGTAGGTGCTCGGCCTACCGATGATGCTTGGCATCAATAAATGCATGGAAGCAAATAAGTTACAAGGGGGGCAAGGACGATAAAATCATATATTTTTTCTTGGTCAAGTATTGGTGACAAAAAGTACAGTTTGAATTTCTCTAAATTTCTAACTTCTGAGCTAATTCCTCACCAAATATAAATTGTCGTCAAACAAAAAAAAAATTTAACTTTTTTTTTCTGCGATAAACATGTATTGTCGCTAAGTATTATTATTTTTATTTTCTTATTTTTAATTATTTGACCGAAAAATTATTTTGGCGGCAATTGTTTTTGTCGTCTATAAAATTAATATTTTTTTTGGAGGGAATGTTTTTGCTAAGACTATTGACGATAACTATAAAAAATAATCGCTAAAAATATCATAAAAAATTTACCACTACAAACATTTGAAATTGTCGCCGAAAATCACTTTTTTATAACAAATTATATTGTTCATCGTCAAAGCTCATCGCTAAAAAAACAAATTTATTGTAGTGATTGTTACTGAAATCAAAGCATACCAAAACAATTAAGAACAAATCAAACCAGTGTCTTAGACATTATTGTATTTACAACTCAACTCAATATAAGAAACTGAAATTATAAAACTACACAATATTAAGAGACAAAAAAAAATTGCATAAAAGGTGACCTAGATGACAAAAATCAATTTTGCAAAACTCATTGTAACTTATCCGAACTGTGGTTTTTCAGTCAGTCATCAGCTTAGCTGCATAACCGGTAAGTGATCATGTAATATATGTACACAAGACAAAACGATTTTGAGAATAAATTTAAAGGAAGCTAAGTTATATCATCTGAAAGTACTGGTTGGAATAACATCCAACTTCATTCATTTGATCAGTAAGGACTGAGCCTTATAGATTAGACACCTGCTACAAAAATAAGCTTAACTCTTACTAGCAAACTCGAAATAGCATCATCCACATAATTCTCTCAAGAAAACTCAAATCACACACCATTTGATGCATTAAAAAGTCGATTCATATATCCTTCTGAGTGGTGTACTGGACAAATATCAGTTATGTCTGTGAAATCATAGTTATTCAATTTCAAAATGACTAAAAACAGATGACTGCTCTGTAAAGACAGATTTGATACCCGTTATAAAAGTAATGGTAATACTTTCCATAGAATGTCGTTTACAGTCCACGACTTGTGCCAATGATCTGTTTCATGTTGATTTTTCAAGGATATGACCAATTACAAGCAGACCATTTCTCACATGGCAAAATAGACAATGCACATGACTATTCTCTCAATTCTTGACAGGCTACGACCACTCTTACTCACCCAACAAGATATCTACAAGATTCAACATATAAAAGGTAATATAACCACGGCTCAACTATGACTCATCTCATAAGCACCTAACTCACTCTTACTGTTTCCAATGAATTTTCCTACACCAATATACACCTCTAACAGTATGTTCACGGCTATCTTGAGTAGGAGTAACTAACAAATCACTAACAAAAGCACATAATTGCCAAAAAGATAGGTAATTATGCGCCTCTAATGGTATGGTTGCAGCTAAATCACTAACAAAAGCACGCATTCCCAGAAAGATAGATTCTAATAGTAGTTTATATTGGCCAAATTACCATTTTCTCCCTCTTGAAGCATCCAACCAAATGAAGAGACACTCGTAGTAAACAATAAAATTCTGACGTTAATTGGAGAATCCTGTCCACTACTTCTACAGCTGAAAAATGTTACAATTGAATATGTACTTAATTCACGTTGTAATCATCATGTTTGATAGTTATCAATGAAATAGTTTCAAGTTAAAAAAAAAAAGTTAGGTTTTATCAAACACACTGTTATTTTGAGTAATGTTATTAAAATTGAAAAAATTGATCTAATTTATTGACATAATGATATATAAAATTATAAAAAACCAATAAAAAAGTTCAAGAGTTACAATCATAATAACACTGTTGATAAAATTTAAATGAGTTACTTTGATCAATAAGTTACTATAGTTAAAAAAATTAAAATGAGTTATTGTGGTTAAAATGTTGCAAAATAAATCATAACATAAACTGCCAAATCTAAACGAAATGGGTCGTTGTCCTTAACGTAAGAGACAATTTTCGGTGCTATGCCCTCTAGTAGTGTCGATGTGGTGCCTATACGCCAACAAAAAATTACAACACCACTTGTTTGTCAACCCCATAAGTTATTTTTTTTTAAAAAAAATTAACAAGTGTATGAATGAAAAAAATTAATTAAACATATACAATATTTTATAGATTTAGGGTTGATCATCAAGTCAAATATGTTGAACTCGTTTTGTTAAAAAAATTTAAGATATTGTTCAAACTCGACTTGTTTATAAAATAGATCGAACCCAAAACAAGTTAAATCGAACAAAAAACGAGCTAAACTAAATATCTGAATTATTTTACATATAATTAAATTGAATTATGTGAACTCGAATTGAATTTTTAATATTCATCTAAAAAATTATTCAATACGAGCCGAACAAAGTCGAAATCGAGTCTAACTCAAGTAGATTAGATCAACCATCGGCCTTAAATACATACAATGCAGTGTAATAGCTGATGTGAAGCGGTCAGAATGAATTTATATGTGAAGCATTTGCATGTCAGTCCAGGTGGAAGTCTGAAACCAGCTAGTCACTTCAATGTCTCTCTCACGCTAACCATCTGCCTCAACATAGCACCTCCACGTACTTGCCATGCAAATCCTGAAGCCCTAAAATCCCATTATAAAAGGCCTACACTACCCACCACCTTCCCCTCGTCAAGCAACCATATTTCCCTCCGACCCTTTTGTGAGAATCACCATGGCAAAGCTCGCATTTCTCGGTGCTTTCTTACTTGCTCTTTTGTTCCTTGCCACGGCCTCTCGAACCACCATCACCACCACCGTGGTGGAGGAAGGGAACCCGAGGGAATCGCAGGAATGCCGCGAGCAAATCCAAAGGGAGCAGCAACTCCCCCATTGCCAAAGGTACTTGTCGCAGAGAAGCCCCTATGAGCTGGTTCTGAACCCACGAGAGCAGGAGGAGCAAGAGCAGCACCTCCGCCAGTGCTGTCAACAGTTGCAGAACATAGACGAGGAGTGCCGTTGTGAGGCTGTAAATGAGGCGGTGAGGCAGAGGCAGCGGCAGCAGGAGGGTGGCAGGCAGGCTGAGGAGAGGCGACAGGNAGTGCCGTTGTGAAGCTGTAAATGAGGCGGTGAGGCAGAGGCAGCGGCAGCAGGAGGGTGGCAGGCAGGCTGAGGAGAGGCGACAGGTGGAGCAGAGGGCTCAAGACCTTCCTCGCAGATGCAACTTGGAGCCACAGCAATGCCAAATCCGAGCCATCTGGTTCTAAATAAATAAAGTTAAAAAAAATTAAATAATCCACGCGCATGGTAATAACAAGTTGTAATAAGCCCATGATCGTGTGCGTACCTATGTGTGCGTATGTATCTAATGAGAAATAAGAAAAATAAATGAAAAATTAGTTGAAAGATCCATTACCTTGTTTGTTTATGGTTTTTGACTGCTGATCATGGTAACTGGTAATGAAAACGAAATCGAAGTAGATGAAGCGACGAGTATGAATAGGTACTCTTGTTCGAATTCTTCCTTGATGACCGGATGCTTCAATGGGAACGAAAGTTGACGGGAGAAAATCTGAGAATTTGCATAAGTTCTAACAGGGAGAGAAGGTGATTACCATTATTCCATTTCTCCTTCAGGTATTTGTTACAGAAAGTAAAATTTGAGCTTCTCTGACTTTTCTAGCTTCATAGCTAATCCACAGCTAATTCCTCCTCTGCAGATGCTTGACAGAGGAGATCACTATATTTCGCCTGAAACCAAAGGATACCAAAACAATTGAAAACAGAGGAAACAAGTCTCTTAGACAGTTAGACATTATAGTACTTACAATCAACTCAATATAAGAATCCGAAACTATAAAACTACGCAATATTGAAATACATAACACTTTGAAACTTTTTTGAACTGTAATCTTGAGCAACGTTTTGACATCATTGTTGAAATACATTTTTCCAGTTGGTCATCTACTCTTTGTGCTACATAACAGGCAAGTGATCATGTAATATATATACTCAAGAAAAAATGAATTTGAGAACAAATCCAAAGGAAGCTAAANCCTATGTGTGCGTATGTATCTAATGAGAAATAAGAAAAATAAATGAAAAATTAGTTAAAGATCCATTACCTTGTCTGTTTATGGTTTTTGACTGCTGATCATGGTAACTGGTAATGAAAACGAAATCGAAGTAGATGATGTGAGGAGTATGAATAGGTACTCTTGTTCGAATTCTTCCTTGATGACCGGATGCTTCAATGGGAACGAAAGTTGTTGGGAGAAAATCTGAGAATTTGCATAAGTTCTAACAGGGAGAGAAGGGTGATTATCATTATTCCATTTCTCCTTCAGATATTTGTTACAGAAAGTAAAATTTGAGCTTCTCTGACTTTTCTAGCTTCATAGCTAATCCACAGCTAATTCCTCCTCTGCAGATGCTTGACAGAGGAGATCACTATATTTCGCCTGAAACCAAAGGATACCAAAACAATTGAAAACAGAGGAAACAAGTCTCTTAGACAGTTAGACATTATAGTACTTACAATCAACTCAATATAAGAATCCGAAACTATAAAACTACGCAATATTGAAATACATAACACTTTGAAACTTTTTTGAACTGTAATCTTGAGCAACGTTTTGACATCATTGTTGAAATACATTTTTTCAGTTGGTCATCTACTCTATGTGCTACATAACAGGCAAGTGATCATATAATATATATACTCAAGAAAAAATGAATTTGAGAACAAATCCAAAGGAAGCTAAATTATATCATTTAAAAGTATTGGTTGAAATAACAATCATCGTTTTTGAGTAGAACGGTAAGGTTTAAGTTCGACCAAACTTTAGAACATCTAGAAGTCATCAGTGAGGACTAAGCCTTGCAGATTAGACCACTGCTACAAAAATAAGCGTAACTCTTTCTCGAAATAACACCATCCATATAACGCTCTCTAGAAAATTCAAATCTAACTCTGTTTGATGGATTGAAAACTAGATTCATATATCATTCTGAGTGGTGTATGAGATANACGCTCTCTAGAAAATTCAAATCTAACTGTTTGATGGATTGAAAACTAGATTCATATATCATTCTGAGTGGTGTATGAGATAACATTGGTTGTCTGTGTGATTACAGTTTTCAGTTTAGAAAACCAACGAAAAAGTAATCATATTACAGTCCACGGAATGTAGTTTTGAGTCCATGACTTGTGCTTATAAGAATAAGAAATCTCCTTTCTAATGATTTTTCAAGGATATAACCAACGAATACAATATTGGAGAGACCCTACAACAAGTCTGTACTCAATAGAATCAGGAAGCAATTCACCTTGCTCAGATGAAGATTTGTAACCAGATATAGTTGGACACGCTAACAGTTTAGCACCTATCATCTTTTGATTCCAGAAAATCAGTGATATCTTTTGCTTGCCTCAAATGAATATCTGACTTATCTCTCAATACTTGAACTCCCAAGAAACAACTTAGTTCACCAATGTCTTTGATTTGGAAGGAAGACTTCAACTTGTCAATAAATCCAAGAACTGCTTTTTTATTGGAGCCTGTGGTAATAATATTATCTACATAGACTAAGACAAATACTTTCAAGTCATTAGTACAGTGGGTGAATAATGAATAATCAACTTTGGACTCTGAGAAATCAAGATCAAAAAGTTGCTGATAAAGTCTTTGAAATCAGGCTCTAAGTGCTTGTTTTAGTCTATAGAGNACCAAGATCAAAAAGTTGCTGATAAAGTCTTTGAAATCAGGCTCTAAGTGCTTGTTTTTGTCTATAGAGTGATTTGTGTAATCAACAGACAAAATCTGGATGATTTTCATCTATGAAGCCGCTTGGTTGCTCCATAAATACCTCTTTGTCCAGAACACCATGCAGGAAGTGTGGGAGATATCTAACTGACTGATGTTCCATTTAAAAGACACTGCAAGAGATAAGACCAACCTTATGGTGGTTGGCTTTACAACTGGCGAGAAAGTCTCAGAGTAGACAACTCCGCATTGTTGATCAAAGTCTTTGGCTACTAGCCGTGCTATGTAACGTTCTATGCTGCCATCAAGATTTCTCTTAATTTTGTATATCCAGTTGTTTCTGCCAATATGCTTGTCTTTTGGTCTTGGACAAAGATACCAAGTCCCATTCTGCGTCAACACATCAAATTCACGCCCCATTGCAGCACGCCACTCAGGTTTTGTCACTACATGGGTGTAGCAAGTTGGTTCAAGTTCGTGAACAACAATGGAAAGCACACAAAGAGGAGTTTTGTTGGCATAAAAGGTCTTGAAGTCAGAATATTATTTTGGCCGTGAGTTTCTAGTTTTACACCTTGTGACAATCCATTGATTTTGTGTTGGATTTGGCGTTGTTTTTGGTGGTTAAGAAGTGGTTGACAATGAGATAGACTGGTCAAGATTAGAGGGCAGAGAATTTTGTGAGTTTTGAACTCTCCTGTAGCAACTTGTTGATATAATTGAGAACTTTTCTAAATAATATATTGTCACGTCATTTGAATTCAAAATTTAATCAATGTAGTATTAATTTTTCTTCTTAGTCCTCGGTAATAGGGTTTGGAATCCTGAAAAATAGAATGCGAAATCTGATTTTGAATTGAGGTGGACCCAAGTGAGTTCTGACTGGTTAATGTTTGTGTTGGATGGTTACTGTGGATGCTTAACACAAAAGGAATTGAATTTTGTATAGAAGACATACATGGCGACAAACTACTTTCCTCAGTTGGCGATTGTGAGCATTTTATCCAAAGCTGGAAAAGGTTCTTCATTAAAAATCACACGTCTCTGCCCGAATCTAATTCTAAGCATCGGTATCATTTTTGCTGTCACGTCATTTAATTTTAAATTTAATCTTAAACTTTAGTCAGTGTAACATTATTCTTTCAATAATATAAAATAAATACACTATATACTGTTCTAAAAATCTGTTTTTGAGATTTATAGGTCAACCATGACAAAACGACACCATTAACTTCTTATACAAAAGTTCAAATATAAAGGTATGTCGGTCCGGCACTTACTACATATAAACATAAAGATTACACAAAAAACGAGCACACCGGCCCGATACCATATGAAGTAAATACAATCTAAAATATAGTTATAGTAGTTAAAGTATATCCATAACATTTAAAAATTAAGCTTACAATCCAAAAAATTAACCATACTCAAATTCACTCGTGACCCCCTCTTGACTCGATCTCTGACCTCGGTAGTGGACGTCAAGTTGGTGATCTAAAATTACTTGAACAAGTTTAAAGAAAACTCCGGTGAGTGCTTAGTTGTATCACAATAACAAAAAATAGTCAACAAATATTATAATGTATTAACTTAACCATAAAAATACACTAACTACATCCACGTAATTTCTCTTACGAAAATCTATCTCAAAAACTCAATGGTCTCACAATAAGACGTCAAGTTTCGCCACCCAGGCAACATAATCACAAAACTCAATCGGTTTAAGGATGCAATCCAACATCTGGACATTTTATTTTCCGTCACTAACTTCCATATTTTGAACAAGTTGTGACTATCGATGATTTTTGTTCTCGTCGCTTAAACAATTTGGCTGCAAAACTTAATTCGTCACTTAGATATTATAAATACTCGAACTACTTCTGGTCACTTAGATCGTTCCTCTTGATAATTAATTTTCGTCATTTACACGATCTTACTGCGCGAATGTTCTTATGTCACGAAGGCTCATGTCTCATCATTTAGACGGTTTTATGTCTCGTTAGTCGGATGGTTTCATGTCTTATCATTTCAGACGAAAATATCGCGCTAAAAGTTAATTCCCATTACATAGACGCCAATCACCCAAACAACTCCACTACGTATCCGAATCTCGTCACGCATACATCTCAATCACATAATCAAACCCTATTATGTAAACACTTGTCACATAGACGATTTGTCACCTAGGAACCAATATTAGTCCCAAAACAACCCGTATACTGATCTATACTCTTAATTTCATTCTTTTCGTCATGCAGATGGGTTCCAACTAAACCACGAAGACTCACTATATTCTTCCACAACTTAAATAAATCATTACCTTTATGCATTAAAAATTATAAACCAAATTTGTAACATTATCAGCCTAATAACTTAATTATTGGAATGTAAAAAAATTATAGAATAGTTCACCTATCTCGTGGAAAGTTTTACCGTGTGAACGATTCCTCCGGTTGAGTCTTTTGTGTGGCGTTTTTTGTGGTGTTCGTCTCTGGACTTGACACACCTGAAGTTTATAATATCTTTTAAACACTAAAATCAAGAGATAGACCTAGTCCATTGGTTTTTTAAAAAACCAACTACTCCAGTATTCTTTTATTTATTTTTGATGTTATTTTTTTGGTATCATCAACATTCATGTTTTTTGGTAATAATATATATTATTTTTAATAAAAAAGTGAGATTTTTTTAGCAATGTAAAATTGAAAGACCTAAACTATTTCGTGATGATCAGGCTCCAAAGCATCACACTCACACATCAATTTATTGTATACATTACACTATAATAAATTTAGCCTAATTCATTATAATTTTTGAAGTGACTGTGAGTCCTATCAAGCATTAGAACTTAGTGTTGATTTAATGATTTCAATGAAGTCACATTATTAAGTCAATAAATTCATAGCAACGCTATGTACACCAAATCATTTGCAGTCATTAGATGAGTGGGTCCCCATTAGTTATCTAAAGACTACAATTAATTTGGTGTAAATTTTAGTACACAAATTTGGTGCACAATAAAATTATCCATAAATTAAATTCAAATAGCATTAGTCATAAATTTATTGTGCTACCACACCTTAACCTAGAAAATTTTTTCAACATGTGTGCAGTCTATATACCCAAAAAAATTACAACATCATTTTCTTGTCAGACCCCATAATTTAGTTTTTTTTAAAAAAAATTAACAATCATACAAATAGCAGAAATTAATTAAAATAATACAATATTTAACAGATGACATACACTGCCGTATAATGCCCGATGAACACTCAATATTTTCTTCCTAACCTGACCATATGGTCAGGTTGGGCTAAGTCAACAAAATTTTTTTTGGGCCGAGTTTAGGTACTATAGACTCAAATTTTTACCCAAGTGAGTTATCGAACGAACTAAGCCGGGATTTGGATAAGAGTAGACTATCCACAATTCAACCCGTGAGCTTATTGAATGGGCCTGTGGACAGGGTGCTAGGCAAGCCTNATGAACTAAGCCGGGGTTTGGATAAGAGTAGACTATCCACAATTCAACCCGTGAGCTTATTGAATGGGCCTGTGGACAGGGTGCTAGGCAAGCCTACTTGCGAGTTTTTTATATACAATTTTATTTAAAAATAATGAATATTTTTATAACTTAATATTTATATAAATTATATTTTTAAATAAAAAATAGAATCACAATGGATAAAAATAAAATAATAAATAATTTTATTTTTAATTATAGAATGAACTACATCCAATATGATTAATACAGCTCAACTAAATTGACACCTATTCACTTTTTCATCATTTGCATTACTTTATATTTTAAAACTTGTATGCTTAATATATGAAAAATAAAATAATGCATTATTTATAGTATCTAAATTTTTAAAATTTCAAATTCCGACATTAGAAGACTTATTTTAAAGTTCCAAAATTAATGACCTAAAAATATAATTTTCTTTCAAATGAAGGGTCAACGGGTTATGTGACGGGTTGACGGGTTGAACCTGATAGACGGGCTCTTGGGCCGGGCTTCAAGCTGGGTAATGTGTTTGAAGTCATACTCAAATCCTCTTTTTAAAGATATTAGGTTCAAATTTCGAATCAATTAAATATGAGATTTATCAAATTTCGAATTAAATAATGAGATCCGTAGATAACTCAGGCTCATGTGACAGAATTCATATGTGGACGCATTTGCATGTCAACTTACGTGGAAACTTGAAACCTGCCACCTCAATAACTTTTTCCCTACCCAACCACCTGCCTCAACCTACCACCCTCCACGTAACTTGCCCATGCAAATCCTAAAGCCCTGAAATCTACTATAAATACACTACACCCACCACCTATCACTCGTCAAACAAACATAATTCCCTACCCTTCTGTGACAATCACCATGGCAAAGCTCGCACTTCTCGGTGCTCTCTTGCTTGCTCTTTTGTTCCTTGCCACTGCCTCTCGAACCACCATCACCACCACCGTGGTGGAGCAAGGGAACCCGAGGGAATCGCAGGAATGCCGTGAGCAAATCCAAAGGGAGCAGCAACTCCCCCATTGCCAAAGGTACTTGTCGCAGAGAAGCCCCTATGACCTGGCTCTGAACCCACGAGAGCAGGAGGAGCAAGAGCAGTACCTCCGCCAGTGCTGTCAACAGTTGCAGAACATTGACGAGGAGTGCCGTTGTGAGGCTGTAAATGAGGCGGTGAGGCAGAGACAGCGGCAGCAGGAGGGTGGCAGACAGGCTGAGGAGAGGCGACAGATGGAGCAGAGGGCTCAAGACCTTCCCCGCAGATGCAACTTGGAGCCACAGCAATGCCAAATCCGAGCCATCTGGTTCTAAATAAATAAATTTAAAAAATAAATAAATAATCCACGGGCATGGTAATAACAAGTTGTCATAAGCCCATGATCGTGTGCGTACCTATGTGTGCGGATGCATCTAATGAGAAATAAGAAAAGTAAATGAAAAATTAGTTGAAAGATCCATTACCTTGTTTGTTTATGGTTTTTGACTGCTGATCATGGTAACTCGTAATGAAAACGAAATCGAAGTAGATGATGCAAGGAGTATGAATATGTACTCTTGTTCGAATTCTTCCTTGATGACCGGATGCTTCAAGTGAACAAAAGTTGTTGGGAGAAAATCTAAAGGATGTGCATAAGTTCTAACAGATATTCATAGCTAATCCACAGCTAATTCCTCACCAGATGCTTTGCAGAGGGGATTACTATGATTGTTACTATAACCAAAGCATAACAAAACAATTGAGAACAGAACCAACAAATATCTTGGACATTATTGTACTTACAACTCAACTCAATATAAGAATCCAAAATTATAAAACTACACAATATTAAGAGCCAAAATAGAAAAAAAAAGTGCATAAAAGGTTGGCCTATATGACAAAAATCATCATTATGGAAATACATTACTCTTTGAAATTTTTCCCAACTGTGATCTTGAGTAACGTTTTGTGACATCATTGTTGAAATACATTTTCCCATTCTGTCATCTACTCTGTGTGCTACATAACAAGGAAGTGATCATGTAATATATGTACCCGAGACAAAATGATTTTGAGAACAAATTTAAAGGAAGCTAAGTTATAATATTTAAAAGTACTGGTTGAAATAACAATCATCTTTGTTATGCAGAATGCCAAGGTTTGAATTCGACCCAACTTTAGAACATCCAGATTCAGTCATTTGATCAGTGAGAACTGAGCCTTGCAGATTAGACACCTGCTACCAAAAAAATAAAAAAAGCACAACTCTATAAAGAAAACTCGAAATAGCAACATCCACATAACTCTATGACTAGTTCTCTCATATCTGATGCTAGAGAAAAGGTAAACTATGACCCATCTGCGTGGTTCAACTATAACAGAGCAATTAATAATTCTGACCTATCATATTCATATATTAGACTGCGCGCATGGTTTTCCCACAGGTATGTAGTTAAGAGCCCAACTGCCCATCTCTCTTGTCAACTGATGACCCCGACTTACATCTGACCAAGCACCCACCTTTCATGTGTTTTTCCTACACCAATATGCATGTCTAGCTGAATGATCATGGCTATCTCTTAAGCCTCTAACAAAAGCATACAGTGGCCAAAAAGATAGGTACTACTAGCAATCAACGCCGGCTAAAAGAATCTCAATAAACTGGCTCTCGGCGACCACCTTATTACTATTGAAACGAACCCCGAACCCCGAACTCCAATGCCACCCCCTAACCAATTCCAAAGCAGTTTCAAAATCAAAACAAAACCCGTTGATCACAGCATTTGCGTGTCAATTTGTGTGAAACAGTGAATGCAGCCAGCTCACCCCCCAACCTCTGTTTATCTTTCATCTCTTAACAATGGCAAAGCTTGCAATTTCATCTGCTCTCTTACTAGCCCTTGCCCAAGCCATCCACCTACCGGACAACAATCACAACGGTCACCACCATCACCATCGAGGAATAAAATCCTAGGGGCTCACAACAGAGATGCCGCGAGCAAATCCTCGCGACTGCAAGAGGTGCTGTACAAACTACGATTAAGAATGGTCACAAACCAGCAGCAGCAGTCTCTCTGACAGTGCTGCGAACAGTTGGACAACATGAACAAGGAGTGCCGATGTGAGGCCCTAAGGGAGACAGTGAGGCGGCAGCAGCAGCAATCAGGCAAGGTGAGGAGATGCGAGAGATGACACGGAGGGCCCAAGACCTGCCCCACACATACAACTTGGAACCATAGCAATGTCAAATCCTAGCTATCTGGTTCTAAATAAGGCCATTATATATTGGCCACCTCTAGCAGTGCGCATTATAATAAAGTTAGCCCAGTAGCACTGCAGCTAAAAGTGAGGGTGGTAATAAGCTCATAATCGTGTGAGTAATGTGTTTTGTAAGTGGTCTTAAAAATAATATCAAAAACAGTTGAAGAATGATCTCATGTGTGTTGTACTAAGGCTTTCAGGATCACACAGCTAATTCTAGCAGCAACAATGGTTTCCACATCCTAGAACACCAAAAAAGAATGACCCTGGGTAGATGTGTTTACGTATTGGGTTTTTTGGATCACAGCAAATTATACCAGCAGCAATCACTTCCTCATATCAGCAACACCCAAAAAGAACTTTATTTCAGCACAATCATGTTGAGAAGTCATTTTAAAAAAAATATATATAAAATTTACCAGACTCAAACTTGTTGCTCCATCCGTATTATGCTCTCCTCTGTGTGGATGTGTTTACAAATCAGCTTTTCTGGATCGCAGCTAATTCTAGCAGCAGCAATCACTTCCTCATATCAGCAACACCCAAAAAGAACTTTATTTCAGCACAATCATGTTGAGAAGTCATTTTTAAATAAAATAAAATAAAATTTACCAGACTCAAACTTGTTGCTCCATTTGTATTATGCTCTCCTCTGTGTGTAGATGTATTTACAAATCAGCCTCTCTGGATCGCAGCTAATTCTAGCAGCAGCAATCACTTCCTCATATCAGCAACACCCAAAAAGAACTTTATTTCAGCACAATAAAGTTGAGAAGTCATTTAAAAAAAAATAAAATTACAAGACTCAAACTTGTTGCTCCATGCGTCATATTGTGATCAAATGATAAGGATATATGAGTACAATCAATATCTACATTCTACATTCAGTGGGATTACCCTTACAAACAAGTTTTCCAGTTTGACAGGAAAAATTCTTTACTAATCATAATGATCGATCACATGAGAGTAGAACAGATTGTCATTTCCCTGTAACTGTTATCTTTAGTGAGTTTCTTGGTGTGCTAACCAGAGGAAGATAGCAGCATGTTTCTAAGAGGTTTAATTTCATCTTCCTCTCTCTGTCTTCAGTAAAAAAGTGTTAGGAGAAGTCCTGTTTGTTGTTTCAAAGAAAAACTATACTCTATATAAGGATGAGAATGGATATAAATGAGGAATGAGCAGAGATTTACTTCAGGAAAAATGATCAGTGATATGAATGCATGACACTGCCTTTTGTTCTTAAAATTGATCCATCAATCAGCTGTATTATGAAGGTGACAAGAACTAATGGTGCCTAACGGCAATTTGAGTGTCAAAAACTCTGCCACTTACTTGCTATGGGTACTGCATGAGAACTGCTTTTTTTCCAGTAGATCTTCTTCCAAGCATCCACCTCAATCTCCATTTTGCCCGCTGAAAAAAGTGGGTGTTGAATCCATCAAGACCTGGGGCTTTATCCGGGTTAAAGCTCAGCACAACCTTCAGGTAAACACCTAATGTTCATTGTATCAATTAATAATCTAATACATTTAAAAATGGGGCAAGCTGCACTAACAGCATTGGACAATTTAGTTCAACTTTGACAATCCAATCATTTAATTAAGGTCCTTTTGCCAAGTCCTAATTTTAGTTCATGTTAGATTAAAATATTAGCTGACCACAAAAAGATTCATGTTGTAGTTGGAGATTGCTGACATATGAAAAGTTGATAAAATACTGTCATGAAATTAACAAAGGATACAGCTTTCACAAAGGTTGATGGGAGAAGTGTACTTCACCTGAAGTAGTTAGAAGAACTTAACATCTGTGAATAACGCTGTTTTCACAACCAAGGCAACAAGCACCAGGGCCTCCAGAACTAGCAAGCAACCATCTACAAAGGAGAAACTCCATCACTGAAAATAGCAACTCTAAACAAATTGTGCTTTGGAACAAGTAATGGGAGTAACAAGGCTCATTAAGAAACCATGATTAAGAATAAAAGTTCAAGACAAATATGGCAAGTAGATGACTTACAAGCCCACAATAGCTGCATAATAAGCATCACTGCACCAAAACACCCCTCCCTCTCACATGCTTTCGGGATTAAAGAAATGGCATTCAATAAGATCAGATGTTTCCCGGATGCTAATGTTTCTATTTAGTCAGCCTGTTCTAGGTGTCCAGAAGCAAAATCTAGAGTGGGAAGAATGAAAGAACCAAAAGGACGCATTTGATGAAATCGCATTTTCCACGAACTTTCCAAAAAAAAAAAAAATTTGCCTTTTCCTCTAGCTAGTTGTAAACCAAATAAGATGTAGATGACAGACAGTCAAAAACTGGAGAGTAAATACTTCACACGATAATTAATGGTCCAATGCACAGATAAATGAGAGTAACAGCAGTTTTACCTTCTTTTAACTAAAAATGCAAGCAAAATGGCCCATTCATGAATCGGATATACTCACAAAGAAACTGACATACAATGGTGAATTGATCAACACAACCAACAGAAATAAGGCTCCTCGGTACCTATGAGTTGCAAACACGGCCATGTAAAGCATAGCAGAACACCACAATAATGTTAGTACTACGTTTTCAAACAGCTGAAAGCAAAAACCTGTAAGGGGAGAACAAAAAATCCCTCCAAAAACCACGCTAAGCACACCATTTCTTAATGATTACACTAGCACCAGTGGTATGCAAAATAGATTATATATGAATGCTAAAATCGTCCAAGATTCCGACCACAAGCCATGTTCGAGCACCCATAATCAGCAAAAAATTCACAGCTTACAACTACACATTACACCATGCCGAGCAATTTAGTGCTCAAAACAATAGCAAGAATACTCACAAATATATAAATTAACATTCAGGAGCAAATCCGTATTGGACAAAACTAGAACTTTATTCATTAAGGGCATACACTGCCAATGCAAACTTCCTTCGGCCACTAGCCACAAAGACATCTTGAAGACAGACACAAACCAGCAGAACTGCTGGAACTGAAAACAGAAAATGTTTAAGAGAGCCACACTAAACAACGGCACATAGACACAAATAACACCACACACAGGACCACAGACCCACGACACTTCACACAGAGACCATCAGCAGACACATTCAATTACCACCCCGAAGACGGAGGACAAGGTGAAGAGTGGACTCTTTCTGAATGTTGTAGTCAGCCAGAGTCCTCCCATCCTCCAGTTGCTTCCCAGCAAAAATCAACCTCTGCTGGTCCGGTGGGATTCCCTCCTTATCCTGGATCTTGGCCTTCACATTGTCAATGGTATCGGAGCTTTCCACCTCCAGAGTGATGGTCTTCCCAGTCAAAGTCTTCACGAAGATCTGCATCCCACCACGAAGACGAAGCACCAGGTGAAGGGTCGACTCCTTCTGGATGTTGTAGTCAGCTAGGGTTCGACCGTCCTCAAGTTGCTTGCCAGCAAAGATAAGCCTCTGCTGGTCTGGTGGGATACCCTCCTTGTCCTGGATCTTGGCTTTCACGTTGTCGATGGTGTCCGAGCTTTCAACCTCGAGTGTGATGGTCTTTCCAGTGAGGGTCTTGACAAAGATTTGCATGCCACCCCTGAGACGAAGCACCAAGTGAAGGGTTGACTCCTTCTGGATGTTGTAGTCGGCAAGGGTGCGGCCATCCTCGAGCTGTTTACCAGCGAAGATGAGCCTCTGCTGATCTGGGGGGATTCCTTCCTTATCTTGGATCTTGGCCTT